GTAGGACCAAGTCCTGAACTATAATACCTACAGGTACTCCTCACTTAATGTCGTCCTGATTAACGTTGTTTCATTATTACGTTGCGGCTCTATTAGAGAACATACTCACTTAAAGTCGCGCAGTGTTTGGTCATAACGTTGTTTGGGCGCCGTCTGCTAGTTGGTAACTACTGTGACGTAGCTGGATTCGTTTAACGCCGTTTCGCTTGAAGTCGTATTTTTCAAGAACGTAACTACAACGTTAGGCGAGGAGTAGCTGTAGTTCCCTGTCTAAATCCCTGTTAAATGTTTCCAGGCATGTTCTTTTCTTCTCAATGTCAGGAAGATTTTTCCTAAAAGTGAAAAGGAGACTTGCTTTCCTACTTCTTCATCCTATTACAGTAACGGATGAATTCTGGGATACGAGGGACTAGCAATTCAGAAACAGCGGAGGGTCTTTATTTCAAGCACAGTTCAAATTATTCATTCCATTCTGGTGTAATGGCACCACAATTACAGTATCTAAATATTGATATGTTGGATAAACTAGTAATATTTTTAAGGAGTCAAAACCTCAGTTCTTGCTCAAATCCCACAGGGCCAAAAGCTTCCTTTACTTTTATACTGGGATAAACGTCCTTGAAACAAGCAGAATTACTTTTGATTTACACCAGTGTAAATGAGCAGAATTTGGCCTGCTTACTTGGACTGACATTTGCCTGAGGAAGTGCCTTATGATGGCTTTCAATGTATTTTACTAATGACAGATGTTGTTGAGAGTGCACTTCGATGCTAATAAAAGGTGCAATTAAATGACTGGGAAGAATGGTAGGTACATGTTTCCCTGCCTGCCTTCCTCTTTGGTGGCCTAAAAGGCTTTAATTTTGTGGCTGCTTTGATACTGTGAACCAAGCCCTGCCCTCAGACACGCACACATACAACTCCCATTGAATTAACATGTCGCCTGTGGATCTCATGCTGCTATTTCCAAAACTTTTCCTATTCGTTGACTCCTCTGACAGCTCAGTGAGTGTAACATGACTCATCCTTTCCCCTTTTTTTCCCTTTTCCCTTGACTAGACACCAACAGACACAATATAACTTGAGACAAGGCAAAGAGGACCCTTACAATGAAAGATTCAATCACGTCTTCTCAAAAACAAAGCAGGGCCCTAGATAATGCCTGAAGCTGGCTCTTTGCTCCATAATTGAGGTATGTAAATACAAAGGAGACAGGCACGCATTCAGCTCTAGTGTGTGCAGGTGCAACTCCTCTAAACTCAGTGATCCCACACTAGCTTACGCCTGTATCTGACCCGAAGACAGGACGTTGAATAATATAACAAACAGAGTTTTTCCACTGACTGTAATTGGCTTTGGTCTGACCCAAAATGACCAACTGCAGGAAGGATCCTGTAATTCATGTACTAATAGCTACCTTAGTCATTTGCTCGCTCTCTCTGAATTCCTTATCCATTGATATTTACCTTGTATTTGATACGCCCACAGTAAAATAACACTCTCACAAAAGTTTACAAATAAGTAACTCACCCACAACTTTCCTTCCTGTCTATGCAGCACATATAGGATAATAGCATATCTCTTCTATGGCAGTTTAACTTTATGTGGAAGGATCTTATCTAATGGTAAAATATGTTTGCTCTATTCATAAACCCATATGTGAATATTAAAAATGACACTAGGCCACATGGCAGGAGATGCAACTCTTTGGTTCTCTTGTACTCTGCCCTGGGCAATAATTTAAATCCTTTAAGTACAAATGTATACCAAGGAAACTGTAAATGCTGGAAATAGGTATTGACTCATAATAAGCCTTCTGATATACCAGTATCTTATCTCTAAAGTAGGAACAGTGGCATTTTTATGGAGTTGACAGATACAGATGTGTGGGAAGATCTGTCTTAAGTGTTCTTGTGTAGCAATCTTGTTGGTGATACTACGTCAGTAGAAAATATTTTAACCAGACGTGCAATGGATGCAGCCCCTGAAGTAATACACTTGTCTCCCTAGAACTGGTCAGAAGACAACAAAGAAACATGTCTTTCACTTGCAAATAGAAAGAAAAGCTTCCTTTTGTCCATGACAATGAAGCTGCAGTGCAAGTAGAAAAGCATCTAAATATCCAAACGTTGTATTTTATGATGACAATGTAAGGGTGGATAGCCAAAGAGCTGCCCATATATGGCAAAAAAAAAATAGCCCTGTGTAGCTGTTGGGAAATCTATTAGCCAAATGAATAGATCACAGTGCCATGAAATCTGTTTCCAATTAAAGACCTTGGATCAAATCCTGCTTGTTACATTCAAATGTTTCTGCTGATTTTAATACACACAACTTTTAGACACAATCTACAAACAAGTATGAAAAAATGCACGGCTCAAATACTCTATTGTTTATATCACACCAAACTATAGGCCAAGGTTTCATTTAGATACATAGAGTTCAATGTAGTCTACGGTAAAGCAACAGATCCTTGTTCCTTTTTACTGTTACTCCAGGGTCACTCTGCCTAACAGCCCATTACACACAGATCTTTTCTCTCCCAAAGTCTACTCTGCAGGCAATGGCAGATAACAGACAGCTGAATGACTGAATACTCTAGGTCATCCAAAAAATTAGATCAAAGAGTCCCTGTAGTGTATTGAAATGCAATTGCTTCCAAATCACATTGTGGTGTTCCAAGCTTGAAAGAATGGGTCACTGCTGTTTTATTGTAGAGAAGCTACTGCTAATGAAAGGAACAATGGAAAGATTAGTGCTGCCAACCATATAGAAGAAACACCACTTTCGGTTTAAGGGCAGTGAACAAAGGGGATAGGAAAGAAGGGCAACCAAGTGACAAAAGTAGTTGGTGCAAAGAGGATATAGAGGCTATTCACAAGGTGCCCTTGATCACAGCAAAGTGTCCAGACTTAACATATGATTACTGAATTTGGAACACAATAAAAATTATGTGGCTGTCTGTACAGACAGACAACGGCATATTTTTAGAGCAGAAAAATGTAGTTAACTTCTAAACTGAGAATATTTTTGGGTCCCTCCCTTCCCCCAAACATGCTGAAGTTTGTAAAAAGGATGAAAAAAAAGAACAAGAAGAGTTTGTTTGCAGTTTTTTTTAATCTATAGGAACAGAGTATGCAGTAAAATGAATCAGACTGTCAACTTAAAATGTCTCTTAATTTGTACGACAGCTTTAGGTAAGAGAAGGTAACAGCCTGAGACAGCTGGCATTGGAAAGCACTCTCCAAATTCTGCCACAATAAATTTGTTCAGTCAACTCTATTCGCTCACTTCTGTTCAGATTCTGCATCTCTCCTAAGCAGACAGACAGTCACATTGATTTATACAGTGAGACACTGTAAAAGACCAAAAAGACATAGGTATCCATGTTAGCTTGAAGTCAAGCAGAAAGCAGGGTAGACTCGCTCATTATAAACTAGCTTGTACTACACGTAGACTAATTTAGTTCCTCTAAAAAAACCAAAGATCCTTTTCAGAGTAAGTTAAAATTAACAAACTCAGTTTCTCTGTAATTTAGATAAACCGAAGGCAAACTTGAACCCTGGTTCTCCAGGTAACCAGTTTTTCAAAGAAGCATAAAAAAAAGTCAGCGGTCAGGAAAGCAAGCTTCACAAACAGGAGACAACTCAAAACAAAGCCAAGATCTTTATATCTTTGTAGCAGTCAATACTGTCATCATGTGAATAAAATATAAAACAATGAATGCTTCATTCCAAATCCCAGGACCTGCTCCAAAAGTTTTAGTCTCAACTAGATGGGGATACTCAAAAGAAGATGTTAAAACCTTCCCGTAGCTGTTACCAGCAGAGAAGATGCCGTTCAATTTATAATCCAGACCATTTCAAGAAACCTTCAGCAATACCCCATGGCTCTTCATAGTGGACCAACCTCTCCCAAGAGTTCAATAGGAACCAGTGTGAAAAGTATTTCAAATGAAACAGTATTTTCCACAAACCCCTTCTTCTTCTGTCTGGCCATACAATAGTAGTAATCATATGTCCAAATATGAGACCCCCATCGTCTGTCCAAAAACATATGTCCAAATACGAGACCCCCATCAGAGAAACACATTCCCACATACTGTACCACCATGAATCTTATTGCTTTGATTCACACTTCCCCCTTCATGCACACTAGACATTCTTCTAGCATGACTGCACAAAAAGCTGGGACTCTTTATCCAAGAGGCTTCCAGTGATTACTTAAATCTGTGAATGATCTTTCTGCATTGTAGCAAGGAATCAGTGAAAGCCTCCTTAAAAATAAGATACCACAGAATGTACTGTAGAAAAAAAGGCATTGCTCTTAGTAATACATCTTCATGAATTTGAACACCAGAAGTAAACAGCTAATATTGTAGGCATAATATTTGGTGCATTCATGAAAGAGCTGAAACAATACGATTGCTTTCCTACTGTAGGCTGGAAGGATCATAAGGGACAGACACCTAATTCCCCTTCGATTTCAATAAGAAGTGGAACTTAATTCTTCTCTTAGACCCTGGACAATCATATACACCTTGTTTATTTTCTTATAAGCTTAGGGATTGACCTTGAAAGCCTTCCTTACATGAGGAATCTTCTCTCTAAAGATGGGTAGGACTGCCCTTTAATTGCAGAACAAGCATTTACCTTTTAAGAACAACAAGGTACTGCATACTGCAAATATCATGACTGTCCTGAGGATGAATGAAATGTCCCATGGTTGAATTAATGTACATCTACCAACATTTTTTCCCCTCAAAATAGTGATCCATAGACTACTGGTGGCATGCCAAAGTGTATGGCCTATAATTGAGGCACCGCTGTTAAATTTGATGGCAGTGGTTCAGCTGATGATGTGAGTTGACAATAAACATCACGTGTGCACGACATGCAAAAATATCCTAAACGCAACAAGAATCTGATCAATTCATCCAATTCATGCGCTTTATTTTGTATGAAAATCTAGCAATGAATTAGCGTGCAAGAAACACTTACCAAGCCTACACATGTAGATATTGCTACTGAAGAGGTGCTATCGTTCCTTATAAATCCTTGATAGAAGCACTGGTCAACTTCACGGTCCTGAGAATCTGTGACTCCGTCTTTCCCAAGTACCTGGACAGTAAAGCTGTTGCTTAATATGGTAGAAGGTTTCAGTTCTAAGTGCAGTTCCTGTCCAAATGCTGAAAATCTGTAGTGCAAGGAACTTTTTGAACTCTGAGTCGATCTCTTTTTCCTAGTGCTGTGCAAAACATCATGCGAAATGTACGATCCACTGGAATCCACTTTGACGGGTGTCACAAATATGTAATCTGGAAAGGTAAAATATTTAACCATCAGCCTTTTTTAACCAGCAACGAAAGTAGGTGTCGTGTTCAACAGCAGACTTTCATTACGGCCAGAAGAGTTCTCACGTTTGTGAATGACACTGAGGACCTACTGGCTAGGTGTACACACATACGTATGCAGAAATTTGTGCAAAGCAACTCGTTAGTCCCATGTAAGTCAGAGACTTTAAAACAGGATTTGTTTCCTTTGCGCCCCACTGAGAGAGAAAGACTAACTAGAATAGCTGCAAACTTTCCCACAATCACTCCTGTAAAGACATTTGTCATCAAGGGCAGGTCTACAGATTTTTTTCACCCCTCCCCATACGTTAATAGCTGTCGACTGGGGAGAGTGGGTTTTTCCCCCTAAAACAAATATTTTAAGTGCTATATTGTTTTAACCATAACTGAGACCGTGTAGACAGTCATGCCGCTTGTTCAAATGATTAG